GGCCTCAAAGGTCCTGTTGTTTTAGGCCTCCATCTGGATGAGCAGACCATTTTTTGTCTGGCTGTACAATCTATAATTATATTTTTAACCCATCAAGTATTTACAAGTTATATTGAGTGTGGCATTCAGGATGTACAGTGCTTGCCTCGAACAATCCAAGAGATAAGCTTGGACTTTGGCACTCGGGATATCTTTTGTCTGTCCCGAGGCATCTGAGAGTTGAACGACACCTGCTGATTCGATTTTGCAGGACAAGACAAGGAGTGCCAGTCTCAAGCTACTTCCTAGGACCGAAACTCCACAGCAAGGAACTAATCCTGTGGTGGCAATTGACTCAACCTCCTCCTTTGTAATGGCTGATCTCATCAATTAGCCAAACAAAGACTACACAGCCCCTGGCATCACACCTGCCCCTGCTATCACAGAGAAGATCCGAAGGGTTTTTCCCTATGCAGGGAGAGAAGTGGGGGTGCAGTGGGCAAGGACTGTATAAAAATGTGGGACTCTGTGGGTGCAAAGTGGCACTTCTCCACCTGGAACTACTTCCCCACCGACGACATCGACGACATCACTGAACCGTGGGTGGTAACTCTGCTCTTGCTTTCTGTCCTCTATCTCTCTGCTTTCTCCTCTCTTTCCTGTCTCTGTTTTCCTGCCTGTCCTATCCGCTCTAGGGACTTTTGTTGTGTTATTGCAATAAAAGTTTGTTGTGTGCGTGACATCTGACCTCGTTTGTGTCTTAATTTCACCATTTGGGATCACCTTTATTTATTAAAATTGCCACGTACCCGAACACCGGATCGTGACATTGAGCACTTATCTTTTCTGAATGTCGTTCACAAATCAGACACTTTGCTTACTTATTCACAAAATCAACTCATTCTCCCTCTCTCTGGATAAGTGCTCTAAGTCTTAACTTGTAAGTCCTAACTTGAACACAATGAAGCCCGTTTTTGTTGTAAAAGTCAACAGAAAATAAAAAAACACCAGAATACGAACCCGTGTGTTTTGAAATTATTATAAATACCTGTCTTCCAGAACTCCTCAGAGGAAGGTTGTCTGGAGATTGATCTGAAGAACATGCCTTTTTTTTCGTTCGTACCCTTCCAGTTGACATTGTAGTATTAGATCTGAAAAAAAAAAAAAAAAAAAGGGGGTAGGGAATAGTTAAGGGGAAAAAAAAACCAACGTTGCTTGACTTTGTAGACTTGCCTGGGGCAGTACAGCCACTCATAATACTACTTTTGTCAGTCACCTAGGTAAGAATCTGTTTAGCTTGACTATTAATTCAGGAGGAAAATGAGGCTTTACAGGAAAGGAACAATACTACTATTTTAAACTACATTCAGAGTTAAGATTAGATCCTTGAGTACATCTTGACAGTATCCGTTCCAGATCAGCATATCCTGGATTTCAATAATCTGATTTGCATTACGTGAAGACCTGGATTGGAATTTGGGTTGGCAAAGCGAAGAGACATCAGCTCATAATGCAAGCATTGAAATACCACTCTGAATAATGCTTGTCCTGCTAACTACTGACTTATTGGTAACAAGAGATTTGCACTGTAAAGCACTTTTCCAAACAGCGCAGCGTACTATTGAGGTGTTGAATACCAGGTGAACAACCAGCTCCAAGATTTTGCACACCCTCCTCTGGAAGTTTATCAGAATCTGAAGTCTGAACTACAGTTGCAGCGCAATGATAGGTGATCAGAATACTAAAAACTTTGTTGTTAAGCATACTATAGGAGAAAATAAAAGGTTTACACCACGAGAGAGCTCTACAACTGTCTTTGACTACACCGGTGGGAACATGGAAAAGACCACAGTTTATCATCTAACCTGGAAAGCACAAGAATGTGAGAAAGTATGCCAGAGAAACATGAAAGCCTATTTAAAATGGTATTATCAAGGGCATTCTTATCACAGGTTGTGAAACACAAAAGAAGAGCCTAGAGGAAGAACTACACCTCAATGTGCTCCACCACATACAGAAAGGGAGATAAAACCCTTATGCTATCTTGTTGTAATAGGGATCAGTTTGCAACTATATATATTTTAAAATATATTTGAGACTTCTCAATTCTGTCTGTTCCAGGCTGCATCTTCCTTGTTCAAGCTGACAGTGATGGACACGGTAGCAGCAGCTTCGTTCAAGAATGCTTCTAGAAGTAGAGGTAACAGGACAAGAGAATGGGGCATCTTTAAACAGTTTCAAATTAAGCTGATGCAAATCAAATAAATTGGTGCTTCATTCTCCTCTCAACGTCAAATAAATTGATTTGGGAGGGGAAGGGAAATCACATGATGATATCCACATAAGTGAAAAATTAGTTCAGACAACGCAATACAAAATTACCTTTTTTTTTTTTCTTTTTAACACCCCTCCCCAATTATAACTAATTAGAGGGAGGGGAAAAAAAGAACTAAGTCAAACTTTATGACCTAAAAAAGGTATCACTGTGCCTTAACTTACCACTGTATGGGGGTGGATGAGGTTGGAAGGTAGAAGAAAGGAAATCCAACCAGTTTCGTTTACGTTAGATTTCCCTCAGCTGCTGTGCAACTCCCCACAAAATGGGGGCTTCCCCCCCCCCCTCCTCCCTCCAAACCCCGAGAGCTTTCCTTCTGGGAATAGTGGCACAACAGTCTCCCTCAGGATCACCTCAGCTTGGTCCTACCTCCTGTTGCTGCCCTTGCAGTCAGAGGCAGGTCTACCCCGGGGACTGCCAGGGGATGACAGGCAGCCGCTGCCAGCCCCGAATGTAACCCGATTTGGGTTAAAAGGCTGAAGATCCAGAAGCAGAGAGACACACACGTATTTTTTTTCCTCGAAGAGGGAGGGGGCAGAGGGAGGTGGGGAGGAAGAAAGCCATCAGCCCAGCGCCTGTGCCTGCCAGCAAGGCCACTGCTTCCAGGTGTTTGCCACTTGGTCCCCTCCCAAAACAAGCAACGCCCCTCCAAAACCCCCCATAAAATTCCAAGAACAAGCCAGCACCGCTCACTTTGGAGCTTCCCACGACTCTGCCCGCCATCACTACTCCCTCCCCGGCTGCAGAAACACGCCCTTCCAAGGGAGGGAAGGCAACACATGCCCCCTCGGCGCGGCCTAGGCAGGGAAGCTCGGTGGGAATCACCTGTGGCGCTGAGCCTGTCCCTGGGAGCGGCTGTCGGGGGGGGTGGGAGGGGAAGGGACGGGACGAAGGGACGACCCACACACCCCCCCGACGGCAGGGAGCGGGGACAGGGGAGCGGCACCGAGGGCGCGAACCCT